TTCCTCCTCTTCCCTCTTCCCATCCTCCTCCTCCTTACCTCCTCCTCCTCCTCCTCCTCCTCCTCCCACTCCTCCTACTCCTCCTCGTCCTTCTCCTGCTCCTCCTGCTCCTCCTCCTTCTCCTCCTACTCCTCCTCTTCCCCCTCTTCCTCCTCCTCCCCCCTCCTCCCCAATCCTTTCCTCCTCCCTCTCCTCCTCCTCCTTCTCCTCCTCCTCCTCCTCTTCCTCCTCTTCCCCCTCCTCATGCTCATACTCCTACCTTTTTTGTTCAGGTCTTGCGAGCCAAGTTCAAGCCCGCCGACGCCGACGCGCTTGCCGCGGATGTCAGTGCCAGAGTGGAGGTGTTCCCATCCGAACGGCAATCGCTCATTGCGAAGGTGCTGGCGAAATTGGACTCCGTATCTCCGCAGCTCGTTCAGTCGGCTTCGATCTTGGACAATCCAACGGGGTACTTGCTCGGGCTGATTCGTGAGGAGCACCCAAAGACAGATTCGTCTTCGACTGATGTCGTGCAGCAGGGAGGTCCCTCCACAGAGGATGGCGCAGCAGCCGACCCAACAAAAGATGAGAACCCCACCGTGACGCTCAAGACCTACATGAAGAAGCTCGCAGATGAAGAGGTGAAGTCAGCGAAAGATCAGGGCTTGCAGTGCGTCATGACCGTTCGCGAGGTGAAGGTGGTCATCGCGGCCCTGAACCTCAAGATCGCAGAGAACATGTGGAGCAGCTACGGCGTCAACGACGAGTGCAACCTGTGCGTCGCGAAGACGGACTTCGACGAGGACATCGGGAAGCTCAAGCTCATCCAGGCCGGCCCAGGCACGTGCAAGGTGCCGTTCGGCGGGCGGGCGGTGGACGCGAAGCTCGCAGGGAACTTGAATCGCTCGCTGCTGTTGCCACTATCGGGGAGTGAGTGCGACGGCCCCACGCTCTTCTTGGACGGCTCTATGGTGACGAACGCGAGCCGCTCCGACTGGTCGAGTGCGTGGCGGATTCCAAAGCTTCCCGAATCGAAGCAGCTCACGAGCAACACGGCTAAGAAGCAGAGCAAGCCAGACCCCATCCCCACGCATCGTATCGAGTTCGAGCCGCTCGAGATCGCAGTCATGGGGAAAACATTCACCTACCAGATGCCGTATCTGACAGATATCCCAGTGGCGCCCGAGGATGCAGCTCGCGTGAGCAAGAGCATGAAGGCCCAGGGCGACATGTACTACAGGGACCGCATCCCCTTCGATGCGGTCGAGATCCCGCGCTCGGTGAAGGTGAAGAAGTCTAGCATGTTCATGCAGTGCTGAGTGGAGGCCAGAGGCCACTTCGGGAGGAGGAGGAGGAGGAGGAGGAGGAGGAGGGGAGGAGGAGGAGGAGGACGAGGAGGAGGAGGAGGAGAAGGAGGAGGAGGCGGAGGAGGAGGAGGTGCTCGCCTGCTCCAGCGGCGCATGGGCAGAGAGGCAGAGACGTCAGACAGTCAGACAGCCATGCAGCCATGCAGCCACTCAGGAGCGCAAACACAATGCTGCTGCTGCTGCTGCTCCTCCTCCTCCTCTTCCTCCTCCTCCTCCTCCTCCTCCTCCTCCGCCCCCCCCCCATACCATCCCCTTATCCTGCTCCTGCTCACCTGCTCCTGGTGCTGCTCCTCCTCCTCTTCCTCCTCCCGCTCCTGCTCTTGCAACTCCCCTAATCATCCTGCTCCTCCTTATCCCCTCTCCCTCGATCCCTTCCCCCCCCCATCCATCCCCTTCCTCTCTCCCCCCCTTCCTCCTCCCCCTCTCCCTCCTCCTCCTCCGCCTCGTATCTCCTCGTCGTCCTCCTCCTCCTCCTCCCTCCTCCTTCTCCTCCTCCTCCTCCCCCCCTCTCCTCCTCCTCTTCCGTTTGTTTTGCGCTAAGGCGGTGAGGGGATCAACCCATCCTCCTCCTCCTCCTCCTTCCCTCCTCTTCCTTCTCCTCACCCCACCTGCCGTTGCCATTTTGGCCACTAGAAGCAGCCATTTCCGCTCAACCAAGTTCGGCTCAAACCATTACGACGCAAGTGTAGCGTGCTGTGGTCGTGTCGTTATTGCACGGACCAGCGTAGTCAAGCCGATGTGTTTGATTGTATTTCATGTTTGCGGGCACGCTTCGCTGGCTATGACCAGCAGTTGTTCATGGTCCTTCCGCGCTGGGCGATTCGGCCCGCCTGGGCTGCTCAAGGGCCTTCTGCAATGTAGTGCAATTGGCCGCGGGTTTGTTGGTGGGGCTGTAGGGCTGCTCTCTATGAGCGAATGGGCTCCGTGCTCTGGTCGCGTGCTGTTTCCACCGTGCTACCAGTGGACAGATGTCGCGCAACGCTGTCCAACGGGCGTGCGGATTCCAGCCCTGTCGCCGAATGCTTTCCTTGTGTAGGCAACGGTAGTGCGTTGCGCCGATCATCACTTTGGATAAATAATGGACTGTTGTCTGCTTCCCGACAGGGGTCGGGCCCAAACGGGTGCGCCCACGAACGGGGTCGGGTTCACGGGGGGTGCGCGCCCGATTGGGGGCGAACCGATGTCCTCAGAAGCTCTGGGGAAATGGTTTGTTTCTCTTGATTCCCCACAACCGTACTTCCCCAGCCGAGCCTGCATCCGACCGAGCATCCTCTGGGCGCGACACCTTCCCACTGCCGACGGCGAGGGACTTCGCGGGGTGAGCGCCCTTCAACGACGGGGTCTCCTGCTGGAAGTCGGCGCGCTGCTCAGGGACAGGGGTCCCCGATACCGATGAAGATGCATCGCCCTCATGGGCGTCGAGCCTGGCCAACCGTCGCCTCTGGGGCCCCGGCGCGAGCGACGGGGGAGCCACAGGAGGCCGAGAAGGTGCTGGCCCCGCTGGAGCAGGCTCATCCGCGTCGCCGTGCTCCACCCCCCTGTGCTGCAGCTCCTGGAACGCCGCCGCGGCGACGTCCTCGGCGCCAGCCTCGAACTTGGAGATCCTCCTGAACGATTTCGTGTCCGAAGTCCCCTCCCTGTACTTATATGCTGCCCCCTGCGGCATGTTCTGCTCCTTCGCTCCGAGGTTGCCGACCCTGTCCTGCAAGCTCTCAACGTCTGGGTAGTTATCGCCCATCCACTCGATCACCTGTTGCGAAGTCCAGCCTCCGAACTCCTCGTTCGGATCGAGCAGCCGAGCGTAATCGAACAGCTTGTAGAAGTATCCCTCGACGTAGCCTTCCTTGAAGTCCATGGACCCCTCCTCGACCTCGGTGCTCTGCTTGCCCTCCTCGACCCTCGTGTACCTGGTGTCACCTCGCACGAGCGCCGACCGATCACTCTGGATCTTCTCACTCATCTTCGGGTCCTTCCTCTTCGCGATCACCTTGTCGAGAGTGATGGGGTAGCCAGTCTCTGGGTCCTTGTGATGCTTCCTCCGATTCAGCCTGCAGTCGTCGCACTCCCCCCCTGTCGGCTTCCACTTGCCGTCCTTCGACGCGTTGCCCTTCGTGCACTTGATCGCCGATTGGTTGGGGGAGTCCCTGTCGATGTCACCGTAGCTCTGGTCGCACGACCCGCACACCAGGTTGAACTCGCGGTCCGCCTCCTGCTCGGGGGCTGATGGAGGATGACTCTTGCTCTGGATCTGCGCCCTCGGCGCCCTCGGGGCTTGCGGCGGTTTCACACGAGCGCCGCGATACTTTGGTTGGGGCGGTTGCTTCCCCGTGATAACTGGATGTGGGGCGTGAACTACGGTCGCGGCCACAGCTTCTCACTCACTCGAAATGCTGAAATGGCCATGGCAAAACTGCGATAGTATGATAGATAGGCGAAGACGCCGAGAGCCCAAGACGGCTCCAATACGGCTCCAAGGGGCGGCCCCAAGACGGTTCCAAGACGGCTCCAAGACGGCTCCAAGTGGCGGCTACAAGTGCCACAAGGCGGCTCCAAGAAGGCCCATTGGGTTCCAAGTGGGGCCCCAAGGAATGGGGGCAATGTGTCTGAGCGTTTCGGACCCCCACAGAGCTTCAGAGCTTCAGAAATTGTGTGTCTGGGCGTTCGGGAGCCTCATAGAGCCGGGGGTCCCCCCGAGCAGGGCTCCAGGAGTCCAGGAGGGCCCCCATACAGCCTCAAGGGAGCCTCAAGATAGCCGACCTGGCCCCGCCCTCGGGGCAAGCGGTCGACATCGCCGCGGCGCCTCCGCCGCGCCAGTCGGGGCGAAGCTTCGAGCCCAGGGCTGGCCAGGGACGAGGACCATGGCTAAGACCAAATTAAGACCCACTAGGACAAATTAAGACCAGCCTAAGACCCATTAAGACCAAATTAAGACCACACTCAAACGGCAATATTCCCTGATACATTCTTCAACCAACGAGCTAAGACCAAATTAAAACCAAATTAAGACCAACTAAGACCAAATTAAGACCAACTTAAGACCCACTACGACCCAATTCAGACTGAGGCTTCGCCACAGGCCTCGCCACGGGCACGGCGCTGCAGCTCCCCTGGCGAGGTCGAGTCGATGGCCGATGGGGGGGGGGGGGGGCTGAACACTTGGGCAAGGCCCCCGACGAGGACCCAGGCACAATATCGCCTATCATATTCCAAGCACTTGCTAGGAGGAGCGTATCTGCCAGAGCTTTTTCGATATCCCACGAAGCCGTGCAGTGCTAGCCAGTCGAGGACGCTGAAGGGCCACTGCCAGCTGCAGATAACCGATCGTAACACTCGGAGAGGATCGTTCTCTCCTCATCCGAAACTCCTGGCTTCAGCATGGCATTATGGAGGAACGCCAAGCTATTCTAAGGTGGCTGTCTGCGCATTGAGGCAAGACATTACCATTGCTTACACATGAGTGGTGCAACGACGTTTCTTGCTTCGTCGCTTTACCACGAACCCAGAATGTAAACTGGCCCTGGGTGATCTTCGACAGAGCTGGAGGCAAGTTGTTCTGGTCACACACAAAGCATTTAGACCTATTGTTCGGGGCCACATGCGAGGCAATGATATCTAACCGAAGGCCCGATGGGATGGCATATAGATTGAAATCACCCGCCTTCTTCACCTTGTCGGGCTCGACGGTCTCCTCGATGTCAGTCTGGTCCCAGCCGTCGTCGACGATGTGGCCTGGAAAGGGCGGGGGAGCGGGGGGAGAGGCCGAGCGAGCAGGGAAGCATAGGGTCAGAAACGTTGGGATTGTCAGTGGCTCATGAGGGGGCCGAGGCTCCCCCTGGCTCCTCCGACTCCTCCTCCTCGTGGCTTCTCCTCCTCCTCCTCCTGCCCAGTTAGACGGGGCCCCCGCCCCCGTCGTCGTCGTCTTCCTCCCTCCTTCCCCCTCCCTCCTCCTCCTTCTCGCTCCTCCTCCCCCGCGCGCCTGGATCAGGATCTCCAGGCGCGTCGCCCTTGCCAGTCTTCGCAACCTTGGCAATATTGATGACGTCATCGTCCACGACGTCGTGCTCCGAGTAGTCCTTCCCGTCAGGCTTGAGACCAAAGGGCAAACAACTCACATCTTTCGGCTTGACTATCTTCTCAGCGCCAGCTAGCCTGGCACTCAGAGGGACCTCCTCCTCGTGGGACGTGCCGATGACCTTGATGGCGAACCCTCGGTCGTACGCTACCTTCTCGACGTTGTGTATTCTGATCTTGATGCGCAAACCCGCAGCGACCACTAAGGTGTCGAGACCGCATCGAATCACGAAACCTCGAATCGCCATCTGCCCAGCCATCGATGTTATATGTCTGAAGCCGCGCTCAACCACGACCAGCGGCTTGAAGGTGTCGTGAACTCCTTCTATAAGCTCCAGCCGCAGCAAGAATATAGCTTCACCTTTACCGAACGTATCTGCGATGACGTAGTGGTTGACTGTGCCGTGCAAGCTGAACGACGCAGTCGCAGGTAGCATACCCCGACGAATCTGCCATCGCTGCAGAAGCTTGTAGATATTCTCCACGCCGAACCTTGCTGCTGGTAGCCAGCGGTCCAGGCTGCAGACCCCCCAGTTCTTGGAGTGGCACGACCGCGTCGGAATGGCTGTCCTTGGGGGGTTGTCCACCGCCTTCTCGTCGTAGCCGAAAGCTGACTTAATCTTGTTCCTGCAAGTCGCCTCCGTGATGTGGGCGTCCACCTTGTCAGGGCGCAGTGCCGACGATGAAGAAGCGATGCCCAGTCCTGCATCCCACGCCGCGTGCGACTCGATATCTTGAAAGACTTGGATAAACAACTTCTGCATTAAGAGCTTGCACCTGTGATCGCCCAGCTGAGGGCGGGCAGCCTAGATCTTGGCGATGGTCAGGTCACCCAGGACATTGGCGACGGTCTCGGACATCGCGGCAACATGGCCCCGATACAGAGCCTTATCGTCGTCTGTCGCGATTGCCCACAAATCCTTGATCCGCCTCTCCTCGGCAATGAACTCCTGGCTTCCGACCGGGGAGTAACACGACCACTTCTCCGAGCGAAAGCGTTGATACGCCACAGTGCCCTTATTCTGTTTCGCGGCTTTCTCCAGAGTCGTGATCTCGACATGCCGCGAATCCTTCGACGACTGACGGGAGCCGTCCAAACGGAACTTCCTGGACAACACATGGTATTGGTTAAGGGTCATCCCGTATTGGTCCAGCACGGCCTTGTGCACTATATCAGAGTTCGACTTGGCCTCTTGCACTGCGCTCTGAACGTAAGTGTTCACCGCAAGGTTCGTCGCGTCGACTGCGACGCCTCCTGACTCGATTGGCTTCATAGACTGCCCGTGGAGATGTCTTCGCTCGCCGCTCGCGGTGCCCATGCGAAGGTGAGCGAGCACGCCAGTTAGATGAGCGTGGGCCTTCTCAGGATCAGAGTCGAAGAACCTCACCATCTCCGCGGCGAAAGAGTCGTCGAAGCAAGCCCTGCAAGTCTTGCGGTTCTTCAGGGCGGTCAAGGAGTTAAGCGCCGAGTCAGCGGAGTATTTGAAGTCGCTGTCGCCGTCTCGCGTGCCGAGGTCGAAAATCCGAAACTTGGGGTCGTCGAAATAGAAGACAAGACGTCGCCAGGCACCAGAGGCCGCAGTTAGAGCCAAATAAGCAGCGTCCAACTTGTCAGCATAGTTCATTCTCCATCTCTGCCACTGGTTGCCGTCTAGGTTCGTGATCATGTCTGCGTAGCCGGAGAGGACCGAGCGCCCGCACGATCCACTCACAAATTTGTAGTTTAACTTGCAACATTCTGTGAAGAAGGCGCGAAAGTCTCCCCCAGTAAGGCCTGTGGTCGCAGCGTGGGTTAGTTTCCCAGACTCCTTGTCCGCTTTCATAACCAAGTTCAAATTCCTTTGAAGAGGCTGCGTCAAAATCTTGGACAATAAGATATGTTTACCACCGTGATCGTTGTCGAAACTGCGCATTACTCCACCTGCTTTGACCGTCGCCTTTGTCTGGAAGCTCAACTCGTCGACACTCCTGGCTGCCTGTGCTGCCGCGTTCGCATCTTCGACCTCTCTTCGAGTCCACATCTTTTGCAAAGCCCTTGGCAATATCTCATGCTGGCCCCTACCGCGGGAGGCGAAGGCAAGAGCTGCGTCCATGTGTTTCCATCTGTATAGCAACGCAACGGGGCATCCAGAGCCAATGCAAGTCCGAGCCAACTCTTTTGCAATCTGTTTGCTGTGGTCCCCGTCGGTGCACCCGCTAGGGCAGTCGCCGACGACGCAATAGTGTATGTATTTTGCATATTTCCAATTCCCATTGTCGTGGTTAATGATTGCCGTGCAGTCGGCATCAGATAATGCACCGCATGACTGGGAAGCTTCGAGAACCCAAGCTGAATCTGCCTTCCAAGTAGCGCACTCACCAGGCAGCCTGAGAACTTCACGATACTCGAATATCTCGTCAATCACCGAGTCCACTGCCCCAAGCAATTTATTCATATTAGTCGCGCCCTCCAGGATGTGACCTAAGCGCACGAGGGCGGATGGTAAATCACCCTGGGATTGGTACACGCTTCTTGTCAGTAGACATGTCTGGTGCCCCTGGCAGTGCACGTCCAAGTGAGCGCGAAAACGGCCATCGCCCCTCTTGTCGGCAAGCTCTCTGTGTTCACATCGGGTCAAGCAGTCATTTGTTTTCGCAGCATCGTTGGTGCAACACTTTGTCAAAGCATTCACTCTATCAATCAACCGTTGCGTCTGACCCACGATGTTCGTCAAGTTGACGCCTATCTGGCCACCGTTGCACACGCTCCATGTTCGTTTTCGGCTTCGCATGGTTGACCAGTTTGCCTGTGGAAGTGTTTGGGTTGGGCTATGTATCTGCGCTCCTCGCCGCACGTGTGAGGTGTCGTCTGCTTTTTGGACAAATACAAACTCCAAAGGATTCAAGCACGGTGTGGATACATTTTTGTCCAATTGCTTTGGCCGTCTGCATACCACTTCGGCCATTCCTCTTATCGGAAGCTGCACGGGCCTCCTTGTCCTTAGCTGTCATCGGCTTCCGAACCCACATCGAAGCTTCGTCCGTAACATCATTGCAAATCATCGATACAACGTTGGAAAGGTATGGTTCCAGTGCTTGTTTCGTGGCCACGTGGTGGGAAACAACTCCTCTCATTTTCAATATGTCGTGCTGTCGTCTCTTGTCGACTTGAATCGTGCTTGAAGCCTTTATTGTCAATTGTGACTCTTTGACAAAACTCCCACGCATCTGCGGTTTGAAATTGAAAAGCTCGCTGGACACTTTGTTCGCTACGGTAGGGTTTGCCACCGACACGGCAGCGGCCCGTTGCTCTCTCAGAAGCCTGGACACATACATGTCTAGTTTTCGCCAGCGTCAGCCGAGCTCCTCTTGGTCGTATTGGCGGTGGGCGTGGTGGTGGCGCTGCTGGTGCTGGCAGTGCTGGTGCTGTTTCTGCTGCTGCCACTGGGGCCGCAACGATTGGCGCTGCCACTGGGGCCGCTGCCGCTGGAACGGCTATCTCCTCTGCTCCAGAAATGAGAAAGCCAAACATGAGTATGAAAGCGCCACCAAGGCGAATATGGAATAGCTGCATAGCATAGACATGGAGATAAGTGTCTGCGAACATGGACTGGATTTTAAATGAAAGAGCCGAAACGGCTACTGACGGAGGGGGGCGAGGATGGATGAGGGAGAGGACGGGCGTTGTAACAAACATTTTCAGCAGCAAAACGTAAGGGGAGGATGTGTCAGTCGTGGGAGCAGCCCAAGACGGCCCCAAGACTGGATTCTTGGGCCCAGATGGCCCAAGACGGTCCAAGACGGCCCCAAGACGGCCCAAGACGGCCCAAAACGGGGAGCAGCCCAAGACGGCCCAAGACGGCCCCAACCCAGAATATATTGTGCCCAAGCGGCGGGATGATTGGGCACACCTTTGTCAGTTCTCGATGTGCCATGTGATTTGATGTTTCTGTTCCCCCTATATCCCCGCACAACTCCCCGTGACCCGAACCCCCCTCCAGCCTCAAACGACCGATGATGAGAGTCTGACAGATGATAACCCCGTCAGCTCTGAGCTTGGCCCGAGACTCGGTGAAACGATGGAGGCGCATTTGAATAATCCACCTGCGTCTTCTACAAACCTACGTTACTATCTTACGTAATGTATAAAGTATTATAAAGTCGTTGGCTACTTCACACCAGTGTTAACCCTATGGCGTAGACGTTCTGGGCTTCCAGCAGTATCTTTACTGATTTCACCTGGAGCGCCCTATTCAACCCGTCGCCGCCTCGGCGCCGCTCGTCGTCTGGGCCTGGGTGCCGGTCTGGCGGTTCTGTGATCGCCGTCGCCACCCGGGTCGCCGCCTCGGCGCCGCTCGTCGTCTGGGCCTGGGTGCCGGTCCGGCGGTTCTGTGATCGCCGTCGCCGCCCGGGTCGCCACCTCGGCGCCGCTCGTCGTCTGGGCCTGGGTGCCGGTCTGGCGGTTCTGTGATCGCCGTCGCCGCCCGGGTCACCGCCTCGGCGCCGCTCGTCGTCTGGGCCTGGGTGCCGGTCCAGCGGTTCTGTGATCGCCGTCGCCGCCGGGTCACCGCCCTGTGGCCGCCTCCTCGCCGCCTGTCGTCTGGGCCCGCATTGCTCTGCATCGTTCTGCCGTGCTTTGCATTGCCTTGCATCGCTTTGCACTGATTGCGTTGCGTTGCGTTGCCCTGCTTTGCAATCGCATTACGTTGCGTTGCTTGACGTTGCTTTGCATGGCTCTGCACTGTTATGCTGTAATTAGCATTTCCTTGCATTGCTTTGCATTGATTTGCACTGCTGCTGTACATTGCTTTGCATTGCTTTGCCCTGCTTGCCATTGCCCGGCATTGCGTTGCACCGCTTCGTATTGTTTGCTTCACACTGCTTTGCATTGCGTTGTATCGCTTTGCATTGCATTGCATTGCCTGGCTATGTATTTCTTTTTTGCGCTGCATTGCTTTTTAGTTATTTACATTATTTGCGTTACCTTGTATTGCTCTGGATTGTAGTGGCCTTCGGCCAGTGCCGCCGATCCGGGTCGCTCGGTGTTATTCTCCAGATGCAGACATTATGGGCGCACACTCAAACGCACAAACTTCTCGGGTTACCTTCGAAAGGGCGTAGGAATGCAGTTGGGTCAATAGAGCCATCTCGCAACAGTGGTTCTATCAACGGCGGGGTGCTTGCAGTGACCGTGGGGAGGGGAAATAATAATGACATGAAAATTCCATACAGGATGCCGATCACTTTGGAAACTCACGCTACGTCGTGCACGGAGTCGTGTTACGAAACATGTGGCCTGGACGATGTGGTGCGAGCGGTGGAGGCGAGCCTATCGGCGCAAGGACGCCCTCTTGGGGCGTTTTCTGAGCCATCTTAGGAGCCTGTCAGGGCGTCGTGGGGGCTTCTTGGGGGCTTTCGGAGGCCCTCTTGGAGGCTCTTGGGGCCTCCTGGGGGCCTCGTGGGCTGGAAGGCTAGATTTTTCCGCTTTTCGTTCCTCTTTTGGGTCCTCTTGGGGCCGTCTTGGGGGCCTGTTGGGCAGTCTTGGGCGGCTCTTGGGCCGCCTTGGGGCCCTCTTGGGCCGTCTTGGGACTGTCTGGGGGCCTCCTGGGCCGTCTTCGAGTGGTCTTGGGGCCCTCTTGGGCCGTCTTGGAGCGTCGGAAAGCCGAAAAAAGCGACAACCCCAAAAACATTGAAAAAACCAATGGGAATCAACGATTTTTGCCTCTGGGGGCCATCGTGGGAGGCCTCTTGGAGGCCTCTTCAGACGTCGTGGAAGGCTCTTGGGCCGTCTTGGGGCCATCTTGGGCGTGTTCGGGCGATCCTTCGGGGTCTCGGGACTTTCGTAGACCGTCCTCAGAGACTTTTGCGGCCGCGGCCACCCTTCCAGCGCATCCTCGAGATTAGAGCCTTCTGCAAAAGCAGCGCCCCGCATCCGCCGGAAACTCGCCCCCCCCCCCCCCCATCACCCCTTCCCCGGCAGAGCCACCCCGGCAACCCCCCCAGAGGCTGAGGCTCAGCCTCGAGGCTGTAGCTGAGACTCCTTGAAACTCATCCGCCGGATCGGCGGATTTCAAAGCATTGCAAAGCATTACTTTGCATTGCTTGCTTTGCGCTGCTTTGCATTGATTTGCATTGTGATGCAGTGATTTGCCTGGCTTTGCATTGCTTTGCGTTGCATTGCTTTGCGTTACTTGGCATTTCTTCGCATTGCTTGGCATTTCTCTCATGGCATGGCATAGCACAGGGGAGGTAAGAGGGAGAAGGAAAAGGAGGAGGAAAGGATGCGGGGGATTCCAGCTCTCGGAGGTCTAGACTTCTGTCGGGGAGAGCTCCTACAGGGCCAGAACCACGATCGGGGGTGGACAGAACCCCCAACAGTGACACGTCGATTAGTGAATTGTCCGTTTTCGGTTCTCGAGACTGCGCCGTGGCCGTTATTTTCCAGGCTTGCGCCCGCCAGGTATGGGCCTCAGGTCGTTTTCACTAAACCACGTTTTGCGAAAGGGGGGTCTGTCCATCCCCGACACGACCCTCTGTTGTTTCCCCGCCAGCTTCCCCCGCAGGAGCCATCGCAGGCCCGCCCCAAAAAGCTCCCGCAGAGACCCCGCAGAGGCCCCGCAGAGCTTCTGCGGCAGGTATCTCGGGACACTGCTTTTTCCTGAGCCGCTTCGTCTTCTGAGATTGCTGTAACGGTGTGTTGAGCGGCATACAGTCAACGCGCCTAGTAAGGACGCGCGCCTTCATCTAAGATACCCTTGCGTCCTTGCCTCTGTGGCCCGTCCTTTGCCGTTTTTTTAACTGGTCGCCGCCGCCCAAAAAATCCCAACTTCATCCTCCAAGGGTCTTGCGTCCTTACCACGCGTCCTGAATATACGTTTTGACTGTAGCGATATCAGAGTGTCCGCGCATAAACGCAGTGATCACACCCGCGTGCACACATCCGGCACAGGATCACCACTCCAGGCGTCCTGACCATGTCGTGCCACCGACGCAGGAGATTCGCTTACCAATGAGACGGTCTGACTCACATTTTCGCCCTCAACAGCTCCACATTCGATCTAATAGGGCCGCAGCTCCGCTACAATTTTACGGGCAATTACGCCCAAACAGTTTGCGCAATACGGCGCACGCGTGAGCCGAGCCAAACTGGCAACGCACAGAAGGAGGCGGAAGGAGGGAAGGGAGGAAGGGGCCCAAGAGGCCCCCCAGAGATCCCAAGGACCCCCCAAGAGGACCCCAAGACGGTTCCAAAACGGCTCCAAGACAGTCCCAAAAGGACCCCAAGATTGCTCCAAGACGGCCCCAAGGCGGCTCCAAGACAGTTCCAAGATTGCTTCAAGACGGCTCCGAGTCGACCCCAAGACGATCCCAAGACGGCTCCCAGGCGGCCCCAAGAGGTTCTCTTCGTCGCTTTCCTCCCTATTCTTTTGGCCAGTGCCCTCATCCAGCCTCCCATTCTCCTCGCCCTCCTCCTCCTCCTCC